TTATTATTATTATTATTATTATTATTATTATTATTATTATTATTATTATTATTATTATAAGAAAAAAAAGAAGTACAAAATATTGAGAGATATGAACCCAGTTATGAATAAAGCTTGCAAAATTAAACACGTTATATAATTTGTATGAAATAAAGCTTGTACCATAAGGTTGGTGATGAGTCAAAATTTAGAGAAGAAGACAAATTAAATATATATGTGCAAAAGCCAATGGGGTGATTAGGAAATCTCACCATACATATACTCCAATTTGCTTTCTAAGTTTCTTCCACATCTCTGTTTTACTTTTACTTACAATTCACGAATTATAAGAAATTATTTGCAATTCAGAATTGAAAAAAAAGTGTTCAGATCAAAGAGTTCTACTTAATTTTATTTATACAAATTTTCAACTAAACGTAACAATTCCTTAAAAGTATCTCCAAGTAATTGTTTATATTACAATACAAGTTAATTAATAGGGATGTTCACGCGCACCTTGTGAAAAATATTAATATAGTACTACACTATTACATTTCTATATAATATATGCAAAATAAAATATAACCACATTTATTAAATGAACATATAGTAAATAAAAACAAATCCAAAATTTTGGAATTACATTAATTAATTGTAAACTACAATCTTGTAATTTAGTAAATATGTGCTATTATTAGTTGATATGTCACTACCCAAACTTAAATTACGTTTAACCATTACAAAAAATCCGCGGTTAACTACTCGAAAACGTTTAGTAAAAAAATAATTATTTTTAACCGATATATTAATCGCAAAAAACATTTATAATTTCATAAATTGAGTTTACACCAACCAAAAATTTTATGTGGAAGGAAAACACCAAAATGAATAATACAACCATTAGGCTATAAATCATGTCAAGAAAAAAGAAAACAATTTATTATAAATTGTTGAAAAAATGTATTTATATATTAAACAAGTAATAAAACAACAATAAATGATAAACATAGAAAAAAAACACAACACTTATGATTGAGAGAGACACTAAAATCATATAAGGTAAAAAGATTATGAATAAAAACAAGATTTATGATATGTTTTTGTGTAAAGAGCAAAAACCACACGACACAATACAACCCCGAGCCAGAACGGTGCTGCAACAACACCGCATAGTTTTTACACAGCCTGTCTTTAAAAAACCTTCCTCTTTAATATTTATATACTCTCTTCTTCCTTTCTTTAAATACCCTTCTTCTCTTCTTCTTCTTCTTCTGCGAGCTCTCTCTTCTTAAAGAAACACAAAGACTTTCACATTCTTACACCATTATTTGCTCTCTCTGCTCAGGTCAGCTTTTTCTCCCTCTCTCTCTTCTACTTTCTTGGTACTTACAACAATGTCATTGAACTACTACTATGTACACTTGTTGTCTTAAGTTTTATGTTCTTGTCTGATCCAATCCAGATCTAGTTTGTGTCTTGGGTCTTGTGAACTCTTAGCTTCTTTATTGTCTTTATGTCATTGTGTCGGTTTGTTATTCTTATTTTCTAGTTTAAGCCTCAGTTTGTTAGTAATGTTGAAGAAACAGTTTCAAGATCTGAATTGACTAACACTTAAAGAACTCAATTCGATTTAGTATGATCAAGCAGATCCGGATCTGAGACTTTGTTCATTCATTTGCTGTGTTTTCATGAGTTCTTGATAAAGATTCGATCTTTTGTTCCTTCACTTGCTTTGTATTCATGGGTTCTTGATAAAGATTTGCTTTCTTGAAAATGCAGTGGGAGAGTCAAGAAACAATGGCAAAGATGCAATTCTCAATCTTTATAGCTGTCTTTGCGGTTATTGTGTGCTCTGCATCTGCTAAAACTGCAAGCCCTCCAGCTCCAATGCTACCACCGACACCAGCTCCAGCACCAGCTCCAGAGAATGTGAATCTCACAGAGCTTTTAAGTGTAGCTGGACCGTTCCACACATTCCTTGACTACCTTCTCTCAACTGGAGTCATTGAGACTTTCCAAAACCAAGCTAACAACACCGAGGAAGGTGTTACAATCTTTGTCCCAAAAGATGATGCTTTCAAGGCTCAGAAGAATCCTCCTTTGTCCAATCTCACAAAGGATCAACTCAAGCAGCTTCTTCTCTTCCACGCTTTGCCTCATTACTACTCGCTTTCCGAATTCAAGAACTTGAGCCAGTCTGGTCCAGTGAGTACTTTTGCTGGTGGCCAATACTCCTTGAAGTTCACAGATGTTTCTGGCACGGTTCGAATCGATTCTTTATGGACCAGGACTAAAGTTAGCAGCAGTGTTTTCTCAACAGACCCTGTTGCTGTTTACCAAGTGAACCGTGTGCTTCTACCAGAAGCAATCTTTGGTACTGATGTCCCTCCAATGCCAGCTCCAGCTCCTGCTCCTATCGTCAGTGCTCCTTCTGATTCGCCTTCGGCTGCTGATTCTGATGAAGCCAATGCTAAATCACCAAAGTCCGCGAAAAAGAACTCTGGACAAAAGCTGGCTCTTGCTCCAGTCGCTATGGTTGTTTCAGGTTTGGTGGCAATGTTCTTGTGATCAAATATGGTTTTTGCAGATTGAGTATGTTTTAAGTTACAGTGTCAAAGATTTGTATTACATCATTCCAATTGTCTTTTGATTCTTGAAACCCATTTTTTATTATACATTTTTAAAAATCATTATTATTGTCGTCATTACCATTGTTGTGAATTGAAATTGTTCCTACATTTTTACTTTTCTTTAGTTGGTTTTGCTTCATTTGCAAGTTAAGATGATACAAAGGGAGTTAAAGTTCATTCTCTTTGATATAAGTTCAAGATAAGTCACAAAAGCTATATACTTTTTTTTGTAATCCCTTTAGTTACAATGGGATGCTTTTGTTGGAATCATTTACATATGTGTTCCCTTTAAACCGAGAAAAACCGATTCGATAGTCGTTAATGTATGCTGAACCGAACCAAACCGTTACCAAAATCTTAAATTAATTTTGTCAAACGGTTTGCTAAACTCTTAAATATCGGTATCGAGAACCAAATTTTTTGGTTGATCGGTTCGGTTTGGTCGATTTGACCGTATGCCAAAGATTAGGTTTATGAGATAAAATTAATACTCTTTCCGTTTTTATTACTTGTCGTTCTAGTTTAATTCACACATATTAAGAAAACGATTAAAACTACGAGTAAATACAAAACAACAATTAATATGAAACAAAATTTTAACTCTAAAACGACAAAATTAAAAAAATGGAAGGAGTAGTGATTCTTTACTCTGGTAAGTAAAATTTTCTTAATTTGGTTATATACCTAACACCAACTCTAGTAAAGTATACTCAAATCATTTTCTTAACTTTGGTTGCAATACCTAACTAACTCTTGTATGTTAAAATCAGGACAGGTCAACCATTAGATCGAGTCATTTGTCAGAAAATGAAACAAAAAACGTAGATCAGATCCCCAGAGACAAAACACAAAAAGTCATCTGAGTATGATGAATTAAATAAATAAAACTTTGTACCATTTTGTTTTAACTATTTATTAGTTTATTACTATCACGAACGCATATGTATATACGATTCTTTTTTCAGCCACATGCAAATTTAGTAATTTACTATATATGTTATCTATAATATTTACTATGTTAATATGATATTTATATTTTAGACTATACAATAATTTTTAATCATAGATAATTATTTTATTTTCACGAAGTTATCATATAACTAACGTTTTTAAAGAATTTTTATCATAATTTTTTTTTAAAAATAATTAGAAAATGATATTATCAAAAAATAATATTTTCCACAATGTAAATGATATAGACAAAAACAATTTATTATGATTGAGTTACATACATATATAAAAAGGGGAATTTACATTTCATAGACTCAGTTGACCGATTAATTAAGAATCTAACAACTAAATTCAATATTTACCTCTCTCTTTTTCCATACGTTTCTACCCCTATCTCTCACTCTAAAAGCCTAAGTTTATTGCTTTGGCAAAAGAATATTAAAGAGTCTTTATTTTGATTTTTTTAGAAACTAAAAAAACAATATACGATGATACAAAGCATACGACATTTTTTTGGCTATGGTCAAGAGTCCCAATGGATTTTTTGAGTAGCAAGATGATATTTACAAACAACGGAGTTAAAATTTGTTTTGATTTACTTGTTTATGATTGTGTGTGTTGTGTTGGTGTGAAATTGATCCATGGATAGAATGGAAAAGCGGTGAGTTCTCAATTTTATTGTACAGAGCAAGGTTGTTTTGGTTTTGACGAAGACAAAATAAGCCAAAGAGTGAATTTAGTTAACATGTATCAACATAATTATCCATATTTATAATTATCTATCTATTATAAGTTATTTGATAAAGTTATAGTTATTTTTGTTAATCATATATTACCGGTATAAACTATAAGTTACTTGATAAACACATAATAATGTAGTTAAATTATTTATTATATATTCACATGCATCCCTAAAAGAAATAAAATTATTTACAAATCAGGATAAAATTATCATTTTATATATATAAAAGGAATAAAATTATGTAGTTTTTCTCTTTATTTTAAATAGAGAAAGGTGCTTTTCAAAATTCAAACTAATAAAACTTAAAATAGGGTAGTTTTCAAAAAAATTGATTTGAGATGCTAAATCAATTTTGCTTCTGATGTGTTTTACAAACAAATATTTATTAGGAGAATCAAATATGAAAGTTCCTAAAATATAGGGTCTCATTTTGTAAAATCCACCCAACTCTATAGAAACGTCAAACGTGAATTACAAAGTGTTTTCCTCTGTTTTATTATTTCTCTCAAACTCTTCTCTGCTAAGGAACAATAAATATAATATCTAAATGTGTTGAATAGATCATTTCTCTTATAACTTCTCGTCGTTTTCATAAAACTCTCAAATTTTCCCGAGATTTTTTTCCTTTCTCGATCGATTCAACTCCTAAAGGTTGAACCTTTTTCTTGTGGGTTGTGTAAAGTTTCCACCTTTCGTCTTCCTCAATCGTTTCTCTCTGATCTGTGAGAATGGGGCAACAGCAATCAAAAGGGGAATTGCTGTATCAGCAAGTGAGCTATGGTAACGCTGAAGGGATTCGAACTCTTCGTCGAGATGGTGCAGACCTTGAGGTTTCAATTTGGTTTTTCTTAATCGAAAAATTAGGGCTTTTGCAGGGATACAATCGTGTGTTCTGGTGATTTTGATTTTGAGATTGTGTGTGTTTTGGGGATTGCAGTGGATGGATAGAGAAGGGAAGACTCCATTGATTCTGGCTTGTATGAACTCGGAGCTTTTTGATGTTGCTAAAACTTTGATCGAGTTGGGTTCTAATGTTAATGCTTATCGCCCTGGTATGTTAAAAATCTTAGCTTTTTGATTGAACTTGTTGGTTTGTAGTTGTATATGTAATAGTGGAGCTTGAGTAGCTGAGTCAAACCTAAGTTAGGATGTCGGTGGCATTGTGATAGTCATTGAGATGTAGCTTTGTCTAGTTGCAGCTAGTGAATGCATTTGGAGTTTGAGACCTTGCTAGAGATTGTGGTTTGTTCGAAACGATGCTGGATCGTAGATGCTTACAGTTAGAAAGAAGGTTTTAGTTTTAAAGTGTGTTTGAGCTAATGTGCTCATTTTGCTTTAGGTCGCCATGCCGGGACTCCTCTGCACCATGCTGCAAAAAGAGGTCTAGAGACCACTGTTAAGCTACTCCTTTCGCACGGTGGTAAGTGTTTATCCTTCCTCTCCTGGAATTTGATTGATGTGAGTTATATATTAAGTTATGGTGTCTTTATCTCATATGGTGTATCCCATTTTCTTGCAGCAAATCCGCTTGTTCTCAATGATGATTGTCAGACACCACTTGAGGTTGCTAGAGTTAAAGGGTTCAGCAATGTCGTACGTGCAATTGAGGTATGCTTGAAACCTGTTTGATTATTCTTTGGTGGCTGACATTTGAAATATACGATTACCTTTGTGGATTAATAGTCTTTTAAATTTTGGATTCTGTAGAGTCACATCTGCTTGTTCTCTGGCTGGATGCGTGAATTTTACGGCCCTACCTTTCTTGACTTATTTGCTCCGCAGCTTCTTTCAAGAAGAGTGTGAGCATCCATCCATTGAACTTCACCTTTATCTTTCTTTCCTTTTTGTCATGGAAAACTCGTTTCTTATCACTGAATTATGAGGAAATTTCTCTTGTGCACATGGATATGAATCTTCTTTAAACCTTGATTTGCAGATGGGTAGTCATCGTACCTACTGGTTCAAGAAACCCTGGAAAACCTTTCAAGTTGGAGCTGGTTGTATATGCTAGTCTGCAGGTATAATCATCATTACATAATGACGTGTTACTTTCAATGTTTTCAAGTTGCATATTTGGCTAATCTGTCTATAAAACTGGTCTGACGTAATCAGGATGCACAGCCACGCACAGTGATGCCTTTGTGGAAAGCAAACTTGGAAGAACCAAAGACAAAGCATTCCGATACTTCAGTGATGATTGTTGACAACTCTTCAAGTAATTTTCCAGGAACTTTTATATGCTGTTGACATGCAACCTCTAGTTTTGTGGATGTTGATTGAATTTTATTCTGGTGGATAGTCCCAAGCCGCAGGAAGAAGAAACGAAGGGCCTGCGCCTCCCACGGGAGACGTGGGCCTCAAGTAGTTAGGCGTAAGTCTACACTGTTTGGTTGCTGAAAACTGTCCTTAGTTTGTATCAGAATATTTTGACCTCCATGTTTTGATTTGCCAAGAAAGTATCTTAATCGATGTCTGTTTTATATGTTCTTGCATTATAAATTTATTTATTCAGTGAAGCAGAAACATGTAATCTTGTCTATTTTTTCTTACAGAAACACGGCTTAAACTCGCACCTTCGACTGAAGGTGACACACAACAGCTGAAGTGGTTCTGTGATGCATGTAAAGGGATTCCACAGGTAATGTCAAATATAACATCTATTGGATATATTGAGATTTCTTGTTTCATTTCTTCTTTATTTGGTTCTACATATTGAAACTCGCTTGGAATATACATATACAGCCGATGCATCCTCCGGCCTTTCTCCAAACAGCACCATCTGCTCCACCACCACCATTAGAAGATGAACTAGCCATGGCAATGAACGCTTCACTTCATACTAGTATGAGTGACCCATCAAATCTCAGTCACCATTCCAACAGCCAAGCAAGTTCCTCATCCGGTGCAAGCTCATCAACCGCACCTCCTCCTCCCTCAGGAAAAGCAAGCGCCTTTGATCACAATACCCATGGAATTGCCATTGTCCAAGAATCTTCACCATCAGCTCCTCCATTGACAGATGATGATATATCAACTGTAGCCGAAGGTCCGATTATTTACCCATCGATCGATTCAACACCCGTCGATGTCCCATCTGCTTCTTCCCTTCCAGCTTCAACAGATGGTGGAAGGAAAGATGATGGGAGCACTGGAACTTGTGCGATATGTCTGGACGCTCCATCTGAAGCGGTTTGTGTCCCGTGTGGACATGTTGCAGGATGCATGTCTTGCTTGAATGAGATCAAATCCAAGAAATGGGGATGCCCGGTCTGTCGCGCCAAGATTGATCAGGTTATTAAGTTGTACCGTGTCTAAAATAGACAGGTACAAACTCCATGAAATCGTCTCTATCCTTCAACATCTGTGCTGTTAACGTTTTCAACCATTGAAACTATCTCTATTACACAACCAAAACCAATACCTCATTTCTCATAAACAATATGTATACATTTTGAAACCTCCAAAAACAGTCCCTATGTTCTGTATATATGGTTTTGGACGCAAGGAAGAATGTAAAGAGTGTTAATGTATCATGTTCCTATCTTGTTTTCTCAGATTTGTATCTATGAGCTCAGTAACTTCATAAAGCGATACGTGGCTCAATTGAAAAAGGTGGCTTGTACAATCTAATGTTGTATAGAAACTAATGTTAGGATAATTAAGAAAATATATGTGGTACATAAAGAAGATAACCTTTGAACCAACAAGAAACAGAGGAACACAATAATGGCCTCTCGTTTCTTCACACCTTCACCAACCACCACAAGTGGTGGTGGAGACGCCGTCTATGTAGCGGCGGTGCCACTTAAAGCGGCTCCTGGCCCGCCCCAGCTTGTTATGTCAATGGCTTACTCACTTAATCTCTGGAAGCTACAGCATTTCATGGTCCTCATCAAGCCTTCTTCTCCAATTCCTCGAGAGGTTTGTTTCTATGTAACTTTATCACTAAAAGGCTTCAATGAGTCATGTTACATGATGAACTTATCCTGTTCTCTGGAATCTTTAGGTGATTGTGTTTGATTTCCAGCCACGTAATCCAGAGAGCATAGAAGCAGCAATCTCAGTTATGTCAGGAAGTTTGATTCCAGGTTCTGATTCCCAGACAATGATATCTGTGATTCAGACAAGTTTTCTCCGGATTTCAACGAATCTTTTATGAACATGGAAGTGTTTAGTGTAGATAAAACTTTTTTTTAAAAGTGAAAAAGAGTAGGGGAATCTTGTAAATGTAGTCAAGATTCTTACCAAAACTCTTTTTGGTTTGTTAGGTGTAGTTCTTGAAAGAAGGTTGAAGAATGTTCCAAGGCAAAGATGTTGGATGGTTGGATCATCATCTAAAGGGAATGCTATGGAAATGGCTATTGAGTTTAATAGCTCATGGGAGACTGATCTTAGAGTTGGCTTTCATGACTGTCGACATTATACCAATGGTACTATGTATTATTACATAGCTCAATCTAATAAGACTTTGGTTTTTTTATTTGTTTCTAAGTCTTTGTCTTTGCTTATTTGTCTTTGGAAAACAGAACTTGTCCAACATCTTACTGGAGAGATACAAATCTTGGAGAGACTCTCAAGAAGCTAATATGTTAATAGTATAGTCTCATCAATTCCTGATGTGATAACTAGTAGTTGAAAATAAAGTTACATTTGTAGTATGTTTATTAGTGAGAAAGGATGAGTACTTTTGTATAAAATTTATTTTTTCAAGTAACTATTGAAATTTTCTTAATCCAAACTAGAAAGTAATGCAAATGAGCTCATGACTCATAACTTATGGAATTCAAAACATAGAAGTACTCATAAAAGAGGGGATTCTGGTTTCGGTTCGGTTTTGGTTTTCGGTTTACCGGTTTGATTAAAAGAACCATAATAATTGTAATTTGATTGGTTTTTGGTTTATTGGTTTCATAATAACTAAAAGTATTTATAAAGAAAACCACAAGTGATTTGGTATGATTTGGTGTCGGATTTTGTTTTTCATGATGATTTGGTATGATTTGGTGTCGGATTTTGTTTTTCATGAAGAACATTACCCTTAATGAATATCTTTTTCAATCTGCACCGACCAAGCGATTGAAATAGAGCAAATAATCAAAGACTATCTCATGTATGTTTAGCACCACACTTCACATATATAATTGAAATTTAGAACATATATACATCATTAAGGAATTGTCAAGAAATGCTAAAGAGGTATATATTGATCATCTTTATAAACAAATAAAAAACTTTTGTGATACAATACATTGTATATATTGATCAATGTTACCTAATAATAAAATTATATATATATATATATATAATGAAACCTCTACAAATTAATAACTTAAGACTATTATATTTTTATTAATATATAGAGATATAAACTTATTGATTTATAATTTGAACAAAAAACTCAATTTTAAACCAAAAAAGAATATTATTTTTGTAAATCGAGTATTAATTTATAGAGGCTATAAAATATAACCGAAAACTATATATAATAATATATAATTTAAAATTCTTTTTAACCGAAAACCGTTTCTTCTCTGAGTCAATTTCAATTGTTTCGTTATTTGTGTTTAGAGAAATTTCCTAAGATTACATCATTTTTTTAGTTTTTCTTCCAAAAATACCACAAAAATTTTATTTTTCCAAAAATACCATAAACATAAAAAGTTGATTTTTAAAGGTATAAAATTAGTTTATTTAATGTTTGAGTTGACTATTTATATTTAGGGTATAGTTTTTAGAGGTAAGCTTTAGTGTTTAGGATTTTTTCATAGCAACATAAACATTCTTCTGCTGCGACCAACACAAAGGTCATATTAGAATATTTGAACAAAATAAAGGAGTCTAGGAGATAGTCATGAGAAAGAAAGAAAAAACAATAAAGGAGATTAGTCCGATAGCTCTTCTCCAAGGCATGGAAATGCATTTTCGATGTCTTGGGACATACCAAACATCACTTTGTGAGAATCCAAAAGCTGAAGATGCAACTTTTTGTGAGCCCTTAGGTTGACTGTAACAACTAAATTATCTTCCATCTCTATCCTCACATATTCGGTAGATGCTACTACAGCCTCACACAATTGATGGAGATTGTGCACCGTTTGTCCGTTAACGCAATTTACCTCCAAATCATCCAATAAAGTATATCCCTTGTTAATACTACTTTCCAAAACCTGAGAAATCACAACTCCTCCATTGATACCTTCAGTGAAAACTAGTCCAGCTAGAATTAAGTAGCTTGGAGCAGGATAATCCGATATTGTATACCAATTATGCATTGGAACCAATTCCACATTGATGTTGTTGACTTCTCTGTTTCTCAAAAATTTGAAAGATACTTGTTCAAAGTGTTTCTTCAAAGCTATATAGCCATTCAAATGTATCCAAAATTTTTCTCAAAGAAAACTTGTCCATCATTTTGTACTACCAGCCCATCAATTTCAAGAATCACATCGTCCTCTTCCAAATATTGGAGATTTGGTGAAAGCTCATTGTTGGTGCATGGTTTAGCACCAACATCATACCGCATTTAACCGGACTGGGATTTCATAATTGAACCGGTTTAAGCTCTTACTAAATGTGGGCCTTCGGGAAATCCCACCAGGTCGCCGACGTAACTTAGGCAACAAGTTCCCAGTTTAATTAGGAAATATTAATTCCTATATTCATGGGATTAGCGTATCTTGTAATTAGTATAAATAGGGGGTTGTCCTATATTAAGAGATCTCGAAACATTAATACAAAAACCATATTCTCTAATTTCAAAACCCTAGTTCGTTCTTCAAGTTCTTCAAGCAACCTAATCTTTTTCTCCATCGAATATGTTCAAATAAACCGATCAGATCCCTTGTGCGAATTTTTGTTTCCACACTCACTAACCCATGTGACTAGAACGCCAGTCATTTTCTTTTTCATCTTAAAATAGGCCCGCCTCATGGGGTTTTCCATAGCTTGTAAAGAAATACCAAGTGAACCAAACCCTCTATCATCTCCTCTCTCTACACTAGCTAAGAAAATCTCAATTATGGGAGATGGAATTACATATCTGCAAAACATAACTTAATTAGTAAATGCATTGAAAGGAAGGAGGAAATTATTGTTTACGATTTATAAATTAGTTTTGAATGTTAAAAATTTTAGTTTTAGTTTTGTGGTATTTTTGCAAAAAAATGTATAGTTAGTAGTATTTTTGGAAAACAAAACTTGTAATGATATTTTTGGAAAATATACCTATTTTCATGGTATTTAAAAGAATTCTCCTTATTTTTAACGTTTTATCTATTATACTTGTACGATTTTTTTAGCCGTAAATTTCGATATTTTTGTTAATTTTAGCTTTTCTATATATATATCCGCAGTCCTAACTTGAAAAATAGTACAAAATACTTTACACAACCCTAAAAAATGGTCGAATTTTCGATATATCTAATTTTCGGATCAAATCAAATCTTGGATATTTGGTAGATCATTCAAACCATCACCACTCGAACATAGGACCACCGGGACGAGCACTCTTCAACTAGTCTTTTATTTCTATGTGTAAAATCACCTTTCAAAACCTAAAAAATACAATATCCCACTCAGTTTTTGTTTCTTGTACATTTCTCTTTAAGATAATACCCAAGTTTAAAATAAGACCCCATCATCTCTGTTAATCATGGGGTCACTTCCTAAAGCGAACCTCCCAAGTTTCTATCTCCCCACTATTTGCCTTTTCATTTCTTTCCTAAAACTTTTCTAGTCAAAAAAAAAAAAAAAACCCATGATAAACTTAAGCACTACGACTACTAGATAGATAACAATTAACAAATAAACAAAAAGGAATTTTTATTTTCTTCCCAATTGGCCACTTGCACTTTTTTCACCCAATATATACCTCTAAGTAACCTCTCTTCTCTTTCGTCAAAAAAACTCACTTCCCCTCCTCTCTAAACTACCAAAACCTAAAGAGAAAAAAATCAAGAAGCTATCAAGAACTTCAAAAACATGCTCAAGATGTTGTCAGTATTAAGGCGAAAAAGCCCGCGTGTCGCGGACGAAAGCGCGATGGCGCCTTCCACGGTTAACGAGGGTGATCATCAAGAGGGAAGTGTGATGATGAAGTTCCCGTTTTCTTCGATCATGTCATGTTTTGCGGTTCCACGAGTTAGCAAGACAGATGGTGTTTGGGTGTCGGGAGATTATGGTAAGGTCACGTCGGAGGTTAACCATCTCATGGTTTGTGATGGCATGAGATACGCTCTCTTGATGTAATTATTTAGTTTTATATATCTCTCAACTTAATATTAGCTACTAGTGTAATACACATTTGTTTTTGTGTTGATGGCTTTTTTGTTTTAATTAGGGTATTTAGTGAAGATTATACAAAAGTCTTTTCACTTTTTTTTTTTTCGTTTCTTTTGTGTCCATGATGAGACTTGAAGTTAGGAATATTTAACTTTTTCTTTTTTGTACACATCTGTCTTTTGATATTGCAATATGCTAGTGGTTAATTAGAAAACTACCCACATACACAACTTGGAGATTCTTGAATTTGATAATGACTGATGAGTTAATTGATTTATTATGTCCACATAGTATTATTATTAATTAGGGAATTGTCATCCACCAAATAAATGATAGTGATTAATATTGTCAAAAAAAAAAATGGAATATATAATCCATTAATCAAGAAAATACAAGTTGGGATAAGCAACTTTTACTTATGGTTGATATAACTTTACGTTAAGGTTTGGTAGTGGTGGTGAGGTTACTGGTTAGTATTAATATTACATGATTTCACAATTACGTTTTCCTAATTAGAGATTAATATAAGATATGTTATAATAAAAACTGATGTGATATGACTGACTTGGCTGACCATATATATATTATTAGTCTAGTATTTTGTTTAAACACCAAACCAATGTTGTGTCATAACCCCATATATAAATTTTAAAACGTGCAACTACAATTTTATTAGATAAATGATCTCTAATACCACATTTAACTTTTTTGTTTTCAAAAAGAACCAATCTTTCTTTTCTTTCCAAAAATACGACAGAAATTTTTTATTTTTCTAAAAATACTAAAAATATATAAAAATGAATTTTGAAGATATATATATATATATATATATATATAGATTTTAAGTTTGAGTTGACTATTTTATACTAACGATATAGACTTTTGGGGTAGAATTTAGTTTTTACGATTTTAAATTAGTTGTTAAAAATATAGTTTTAGTTTTTTGGAAAAAATCTCTATGGTATTTTTGGAATATAAAACATAATGATATTTTTGGAAAAATACATATTTAAGTGATAATTTGAAACAATTCTCCATTTTATTATAACATAAATGACACAATGTATATTAAGCTCTAGTTATGAAGTCATTCTCCATTTCGATTTATATATAATGAATTCAATAAGATATGATTAGAGAATTGGTCAAAATTTTAGTTTAGGTAACGCGTAGAGTACAATGTGGGAAAAAACTCATGTCCACGTTTAGTGCGACACAGCAAGAACCAACCCTTTTTATAATAATCATTGGCATGGCCACTGCCCAAATTTAATTTATAAAACAAAATAGCATTGTTGTGTTGTGTTATGTCGACTAATAAAATTTAGGATTAGGATGTTTTCTTAGTGCGGTTTGCTCTATGAATCATCCCATCATTGCGATTGACGTTTTGGTAAAATTTTTGTCTCTTAAAATGATTGGTGAATTTATTAGAATCTAGATTGTGCTCGAAGAAGCCCTTGGTGTCGAATTTTCTACTAATGAACCAAGACTTTTTATTTTCTTTCGTTTCATAGATAATTATTAAAGTTAAAACTACTTATATATTCGTGTAGATTATGATAAGACATGCATACCACAAATGATATAATAAGATATGTAATAACCTCATATTTCGTAGTGGCTAATGGGGAACCTAATCATGATATGTAGACAATAACAACGTTATCTTTTGTTGCTAACAAAACCAGTCCATGTTTTAAGTTGTAAACCACTTATTCTTCTAATTAGTGTATGTTCCACAAAAAATTATATAGATGATCTAGTTAATTATTTTTGAATTGGTATCCTTTAACATAAGTTGCCTAAGGAATTCAACATGACACATAAAGAAAATGGGCATTTCTTATATAACTGATGAATGTGGTCATATATATAAGTTATAATTTTTTGCTAAATCGTGGGTTGAACCGAAAGATTTGTTCCTATATGTCATGATATCTATGTTTGGGTTGACTATTTGAACTTTTGAGGTAAACGAAGTCTTCATGGTAGTCTAAATTCACTATAAAAACTTTAAATTTTAAGATGCACAGCTCATTGATCCAATAAACAAGACCTTGATTGTTTAGAGTCTTCACGAGATTGTTAGGTAAACAAAATAGTAGACTAATATAAAAATTCAACTCTCGACTATTGCCAGGTTGGTTTAGGCTTGATTTTTTTCTTTATGGATCTTTAAAAATGTGGATTAAGATCAAGTGCTAATATCTCAACTGGTAAAGATCTCTGGCAAAAGCTTAGAGGTCGTCGGTTCGAGTAGCGGTTGAGACAAGATCATATAACATGTTTTGGTTTCAGGGATGAGTGAATGTATGAATTTCGGCCCAGAAGTGGATTAAACGTTCCATTGCAAAAGACTGAAAGAGAAGTATATAATCTTAAAAATTATAACTTTTTACTTATTTTTCACAAAAGAAGTTTTGTTAATTATTTCGTAGAACTAGAACCGAAGACAAAGAGTGGTTTGATTAAGCATACGAAAAATAGTCAGTGTCAACATATATATTTCATGGGTTATAAAAAAACAAATCAATTAAACAGAACCCAGTGATAACATAAAAGTCTTGTAAGTTGGTACGTTCCATAAAGCCCAAACTATATAAAAACTATATTTTTTAACCTAATTTGCTCTCTTGTAGCATTGAGAAGAAGTAAACGAGAAAACTTGCATAAGAAGTAAAAAATCCAGAGGTTTGGTCAGCTACAGCTACGACTTCATCTCGTTAAATCAATCAATGTCGCCGCTACCGGAAATTAAGAAGAAGAAGAAGCCATCTTCGACGCCCCAATCAACCCTGAAAACAGCGTCACTACTTCCCCATGATTTGCTATTGACCATCCTCGCAAGAGTGCCAAGATTGTACTATCCGATTCTCTCACTAGTCTCCAAGAGCTTTCGATCTCTCGTGGCTTCACCGGAGCTTTACAACGTTAGGTCACTCTTAGGTCAAACTGAGAGTTGTCTTTATGTGTGCTTAAGGTTGGGTTCTTCCTTTTCCTGGTTCACCCTCTCTCGGGAACCTGATCAAACAAAGAGGATGAATTCAAGTGGCTATGTTTTGGCTAAAGTACCAATACCCTCGTGGTACGGTTCTCCTTACATAGATTTTTCGGGTCTTGTTGCGGTTGGTTCTGACATCTATAACGTTGGCGCATGGAGAGGAACCTATCTGTCACCCACCTCTAGAGTTTTGATTCTAGATTGTCGGTCTCACGAATGGCGCGAGGGTCCAAGCTTACCGATGGAGCTAGAGTTACTTTCTGCTAGCGTACTTGATAAAAAGATATATGTAGCAGGATGCTATAGAGATAAAGATTCTTGGAAAAACTCGTTCGAGGTGTTGAACACCAAAACACAGATTTGGGATCTTGATCCCATCCCTTGCAACGAATTGTATCGCCCTAGAAGCATTTGTATCGACGGGAAAATCCATGTGCTTACTTGTAGTGGTGTGAAGGTTGCTTTCAATTCCAAGGAAGGTAGATGGGACATGGTTGATGAACCAAGTATGGTGACTGGTGGTATTTGCGTTTCGTCTTCTTTCTGCGAGATAGATAACGTTTTGTACATTCTATCTCTTGACAGAATTCTCAGATGGTATGACAGCGAGAAGAGAAGATGGAGAGACTTGAAGGGTTTGGTAGGGCTACCTAGTTTGTCTTCTTGTTTTAGTGGTAGGTTGGCGGATTACGGTGGAAAGATGGCGGTTTTGTGTGCTAGGGAGATGTCCCTTTCGAAGATGACTACGATCAGTTGTGTAGTGATTGCGCTTGAAAGGCGCAAAAGTTGTGAAATTTGGGGGAAAGTTGAGTGGTTTGATAATGTGCTTTCAGTCCCTGGAGCATGTAAACTCGTTAAGGTTCTTGCTCCTACCCTTTGATGAATGCGTGTGGATCGAATCTGGGTTAGTTCCTTCCAACATTTCCCTAATTCTCCCTTACCACTGTACCACGGCCTTGCGGATCCTTGCTCCAAAATTACTTTAGTTTTTGTTTCTTTTGTTCATTTCTTTTAATTGTAGTAACCATACAACTGAAGTTGTGAACACTCTTCATAACGAGTGCATGTAATGTGTCTTCCACCTCACATGAAGAGCTTATTTAGTTTCGTAGGGTTTCTTTTAATTAGCCGTGTTGTGTTTTGGATTGAGGTTGGCCACTTGAGTACTTGACGATGTTTTGAGACCATGAAGTAAGAAATGTTTTGAGTATGTGTCTATAGATCAACAAGTGATGATATGTGTCTTGAGTATTCGAAATGAGGCCAAATTAGCCTAAGCGAAAAAAAATATAATACATGAACGTCTTAACATGCACATAAGTTCTATTTGCAAGCCCTGGACAATAATACAAGAAACACGTTAGTTAGAGTACACATGAAACATTGAAACCGAGTGATTCATCATGTTCTATTTCCAAAGATCTTTCGAGCACTGATCTTTCACATCAGCTTTGTAGACATGACGAGTAATATAAATCAAATCATAAACATGTTTGTTTGACGTGCATCCTCAGCTCTTCCACTATTCTTCAGTTATGATTTTGTTTAACCTTATTTTAAAATTTATTGAATCGGACCAAACTGAGAACCGAATGTAATTACTTCTGCCTATCAGCTCTATCTTACCAACCGAAACAAAACATAAATAACCAATGACTCGGTTCGGTTCGATAATGTGGTGAATTTTTGCTCTAGTTTGTTATCCAAATGCATCTTGTAAGCTTATGCGACAAATATCTTATTAGTTAATTCCAGTGATTATTTTAAATTCTTAAGTATTTTTCAAATTGTATAGAGAGATGTTGCCATTGGTGCTACGGTTCATGTTCATGTATCATTTGTAGGCTAGACTGTGAATGCTATACAAAAAAATACTAGTAAGGGCTTTTGTATATTTGATGTTTTTTGTTATGGCCACTATATATAGTAGAAATAAACTAATTTGAAGAAATAAATAGAAATATTTTTTAGTTAGAGAAATAAGAGGGGTGTGCACAATTGTATAATTTTGGTTTTTTTTTTTATTAACATACTTGTTATGCACTTCTCAAAAATTTTATTAACAACAAAAGGAGCAAGTGTATCACTCTTGTTATCTTCCTCACTAAATTTGGATTCGAACTCGATCCCTCGCGGAAATCAATAGAAAAAATTTCTTTGTGGACTTCGAGAGGCTCCGACGCCCTCTTTAACGAGAAGCGTATAATTTAGCTATTGGGCCGGACCAAAACGTAAAAACAGAAAACAAAAAACAAATTAACAACATAAAAAAATAAAATGAAAACCAAAAACCCTAGTGTAGCCTTGGTATATAAATTGAAAACACCCTAAAATTGCAAAAAAAAAAAAAAAAAAAAAAAAAACCTAGTGTGATCTGTAAAGTAGACTGAAGGAAGACATGGGAAGCGGCTTGATGAGAAAGAAGAAGAAGAAGAAGAAGACTAACAATAAGAAGAAGAGACCAAAGGTGTCTAGATATCCCGATTGGTCGAAGCTGTCCCCTGACGTTTTGGGCAAAATCTTCGAAACCTTAAGTAGCCCTATTGATTCACACAGAGCTAAAACTGTGTGTTCGAATTGGTACTCAGTTTGGAAAACATGCTTGCACAAGCCCTTGTATTCATTGCAGATCATACACCAAGGTGATTCTCCTACTGAAGAAGACCAAACAAGAAAAATCCTAGGGTTTACTCAAAGAAGCTATTGTATGGCTACCTTTGGAAGCTGGCTTCTTATGGTTGAACCTGGTCTCAAGTTCTGTATTTTCAACTCTTTGACGTGTGAAAAGATTGTTCTTCCATCGATGGAGTCACCAATACGTGGAGGTAAAGTAACATTCAAACATAATCATATGTATGATGATGGTTACTTCTTGAGGAATGGTTCTCGTAGGGATGAAGTTCGTTACGAATTTGATTCTGTTGAATGGAAAAACTCTGTAGCTGCTTTGTGGATTGATGAGGTTACGGGTGATTATGTTGTTGCTTGGACTTATATACAGCATTACTTGTTCTCATACAAGAAAGGAGATAGTTCTTGGTGTAACTTGAATCACAATAGGAAGAGTTTGGTTTTGTTTGATATGGCTTGTGATAAGTATAAGCTTTATCTTTACACAGCTGATCATAACATTAGGTTCTTTGACTTCTCTGGAAAGTATCCTATAGAGAAAAAATCCGAAAACCGGTATTGGAAGCATCCTTTTGATTACGTTGAGGAAGAGTGGGAATACGTTTGGAAGAGGAAGTTAGCTGTTCGTCCATCAGGTGAGGTGCTGATCATCTTGAGCCTGAAACTAGTGTTGTCTGAGGAGACACTTTTGTTTTACATCTTTGGAATGAATCTTGAGAGTTTCAAGTGGGAGAGAGTTGATTCTATTGGAGATGAGATGTTGTGTTTTGGTCATGGGGTTACTGTACCTCTTGCTTTTAAAGATTTGGGTGGTGGAACTAGGAGTGATACTATCTTTTTCGTCGACAAAGATGTTTGGCCGGATCATCCAGATCATGATCATCGTGTTTCGAATTGCGGGGTTTTCGATATTGTAACAGGGGTAGTAGAATGGCCTAAGAAATTGTACCGTTCCATGAATGGAACTCAGTGGTTTGTTTGGGGAGTTGTTTATTAGTGTGGTTATTGAATGTAAGGATTTAGTAGAACTTGTATGAAATTCAAGTTTTTATATGATTCTAGTGTTGTTCAGTTTCGGATTTCGAGTAAATGTTTTGATGGTTATGTCATTTGAAAATAATGTAATAGAATGTTGAATGAGAAATGTGAAGAACCAAAGATGTTGCTTCCAATTCTTTAAAAGGGTTTGTCATAAGAATACTTATTGACAAGTCTTACATGGTTTAAGTTACAAAAGAATACGAAGATAAACAAATAAATTCTTAACACAGATCTGTGTGGTCTTTCTACTCTTACATGAAAGCTACAGAGCAGTTCTGGTTTCAACAGCAATGTTGATTTTGTTGATGAAGTCATCAACAGGTATGGTTCCAAGCTCTCCTCCAAACCTCGATCTAACGGTAACAGTTCCAGTCTCGACTTCCTTAGGGCCAACAACCGCCATTAACGGGATCTTCTGTGTCTCTGCGTTCCTTATGAGTTTTGGCAATCTCTCCCCATGGCACAGCTCAGCCCTTACTCCACAAGCTCTCAGTTTCTTACTCACTTCCTTGCAGAACTCCAGCTGCAATGTCCTCATTAAGTCAGAACTTGGTTTTTCCAATAAAGAAATTAAGACAAGTTTTCCATCAAGTTAACCTGATTGTCTGTGACGGGTAAAACCCGGACTTGAACAGGAGAGAGCCAAAGCGGGAAGTCCCCTGCATAGTGTTCTATAAGAACCCCGAAAAATCTTTCTAATGATCCCAAGACCGCTCTGTGGATCATTATAGGACGTTTCTTGTCTGAGTTTGTGTCTACATAAGTAATGTCAAATCGCTGAGGAAGATTGAAATCAACCTGCGTGCCAACAAGAATGTGTTAATAAAAATGTACCCTGGAATTTATAAGAGTCGATGAAACTTTCTTACCTGAATAGTTGAGCACTGCCATTTTCTTCCTAATGCATCTTCAATCTTAAGGTCGATCTTTGGGCCATAAAAGGCACCACCTCCTTCATCAACCTCATAGCTCCATCCCTTATCATCTAAAGCATCCCTAAGGGCACATGTCGCCTTTTTCCATATATCATCACCTCCAACTGATTTTTCAGGTCTAGTTGATAAGTTGACCTCATACTTGTCGAACCCAAACCTAGATAATATCTCTTCTGTGAGATCTAGGACACCTCTGATCTCATCTTTGATCTGATCCTCTAAACAAAATATGTGTGCATCGTCCTGGCAAAGCAAAGGTTAGTTAAGTAAATCCTAGTACTTAATAAGATTCAGGTTAACTATTAGATTAAAGATGTTTGAAGTAACCTGCGTGAACCCTCTGACACGGAAAAGGCCATGTAAGCTACCAGACAACTCATATCTGTAAACTGTGCCAAGTTCTGCAACTCTTATGGGTAAATCTCGATATGATTGACGCTTTCTTTGGTAAAGCAAGATGTGATAAGGGCAGTTCATGGGTCTGAGTTGATAAAGCTCATCCTCAATCTCCATTTGGTCATACATATTCTCTCTGTAGAAGTCCAAGTGACCACTGATCTTCCACAGATCAGCTTTGGCGACATGAGGGGTATAGATCAAATCATAACCATGTTCGACATGCATCTTCTTCCATGATTCTTCAATAATATTTCTAACAATCGCACCTTTTGGATGCCAAAACACTAATCCTCCTCCAGCTTCATCCTGCAGTTGAAAAGCTTAAGAAACAAATTCCTAAAAGTAGAATATCATTTTGAAACTGAATTAAATTAAAGCTGGCTATACCTGGATGGAAAACAGATCGAGGTCTTGGCCAATACGTCTATGATCTCGGCGTTTAGCTTCTTCTTTAAAATGAAGATATGCTTTTAGTTGTTCTTCACTCTCCCAAGCTGTTCCGTAGATCCTCTGAAGCATTTGCCTCTTTTCATCTCCTCTCCAGTATGCACCGGCAACAGATTCTAGTTCGACAGCTTTCTTGTTTATCTTCCCTGTGGTCTCGACATGAGGACCAGCACAAAGATCCCACCATTCATTACCTAGATGGGCATTCGAACTGGCATAAGATGGAGACAAGCTATTACCAAACTAAATATGAACAAATTAGAGAATTAAAAAGCAAGCAAGAAGCTACAGCGTACCAATATGATAAACAGTAATGGGTTCTTCCTTAATACCCTCCAAAATCTCCATCTTATAAGGCTCGTTTATCGCCAAGATCCTTTTCTGCGCTTCTTCTCTAGATACTTCTTCTCTTAAAAGTGGTAAATTCCGACTAATGATACGATCCTACCAAATAATATACCAAGAAACCATGAATACTATTCTTAATCCCTCCCTCAATCATCAAACACATTAACCCCCTCAGAGACTTCAACAGAAAAACTCACCATCTCTTTCTTGATCCTCTTGAGGTCTTTATCTGTTAAAGGCTCCATATCAAAATCATAGTAGAAACCGTTATCAATCCAAGGACCTATCGTCACTTTTGCATCAGGGAAGAGTTTCTGAACTGCCATAGCCATTACATGTGCACACTGAATCCACATAAATCACTCTATTCAGCTCAACAAGTAGAAATTGCTCCCATAAGCAATAAAACCTCAACACTTATCCCAAAACACCAAACAAATCTCATGTAAATTGAATCAAAATTCAAACTTGCACAAAACCATACTTCCCTAACAACATTACAAGTCCACCTAACTCAAAATCCCAGAACAGAAACAGAGCTCTGCATAAATTTTGATTCAATCTCATAGCAAATGAAACTCACACAAGTTAAACTATTCAGCTCAACAAGTTACTATATATTTGCCATAAAGCTTCAACCTTTATCCCAGAAACCCAAACTTTTCAGACATTTCTCATGAGATTGAATCAAAAAATTCAAACTTTAACAAAACCCATCTTAGCTAAGAACATAAAGTTAACAAATTGATCAAATTTACTCATTCTCCTAAAGTCCACTTATCAAACTCCGACTCACAAAACAGAAACAGAGCCAAAAATAAGTGTACCGTGTGACGAATCTTGAGCAGCTTATCAGATGATTCATTACTAGGAAGCGGGACCTTCGCTAGCTCTGTTTTCTTAGGTCCGGTACTGGAGATAGCCGGCTCGGTGGCGACGGCGAAGACGGTGGAGAACCCATGTCGTTGCTGCTTTGGCCAGAATCGCCGAGTTGGAACGTAAACGAAACGTTTTAGAGACGAAGTGAAGGAGGAGGGTTTGGAGACGAAGGAAGAAGAGAAGAGAAGAGAATGAGAAGAGGCCATTAGTGTGAAGAGAGCCCCGCGAGAATGAGAATTCACGCAGGGAGTTTTGAGATTACGGAAGAATCTGTGGTGGAAGTTTCTCTTTATGTGTGGATTGAAGTGGAGGAGAGAAATTAAAAACACGTTTGCGTTTTGTTTACAACTGTGATAAATTGCGTTTTGTTTCTAATTATAAAGCACGTTAAAAATAAGGATTCATTACTTCATGTATTTGTAAACAAACAAACAATTAACCTATTCTAAATGGGAGAATTACTTAGATAAACCACAATTGTATGTTTATTCCCTAAACAGCCAAATTTTTTTTTTATTCCTTAGATGTTTACTGAAATGGGTGTAATTACAATAAACACCCTTATTATGTTTTCACTTAAAAATTGCCACGTCAGATTCGACATGCCACGTCACACCTGAAATTGTCACATCATTATTCTGTCTTTAATGATAAAAGAGGAAAAAACTGAAGATTTTCGTCACTATTCACAAACAAAAAAAAACTGTTTTTTTCTCCCTCGAAGCCAACGAAGAACCCAAACTCTCGCCGCTTTTCTTTCTCGTTTCTTCCGGCCGCTTATCCTATTATCAGTGTGTCTCTCTCTTTCTCGTCGTTATTATTGTCGCATTTCTTCTCAACTTGGATGTAGACTTTTCGTTTTCTGACAAAAATAACAGGGAAATACGAAACGTCGTTTACGGCTGAGTTATGATACATTACGGCTGAGTTATGACACATTGCGGCTGAGTTATGGTACATTACGGCTGAGTTATATTATGACTTATTGTAAGTTACGGCTGAGTTATGGCGAAAATATTTCTACCTCGGTGATTCCGGCGAAGAACTCTAATTCTCGCTGCTTCTCTCTCTCTCATCTCTTTTGGGCGCTTCGATTCTCAACGAGTCTCTCTCTTGTCGTCATTCCTATCGTATTTCTTCTCAAATTGCGTACATCCAACGTTCTAAGAAAAGAAAAGAGTTCTTGGTCCTCACATGTGGTTCTGTTCATGGTGAGAGTTGCTTTGAAGATGACAATAATGAAGACGAAGAGAGTGAACAGTAAACCTATGGCACTAACTCGTAATCTCATTACTGTCTTGTTATTTTGCCACTATATCGAAATCTCATATCCCATTCTCGAGTTTTGTTTCATTTGTTGCAAAAAATGTGTCTATGTCAGATCGGAATAGGCCAAGGAAAAGGCAGAAGACTAAAAGGAATAAAAAAAAAACTAGTTACTTTCTCTCTTAAAGCCGACGAAGAACCCTAACTCTCGCCGCTTATTTTTCTCGTCTCTTCTGGCCGCTTATCCTATAATCGGTGTGTCTCTCTTTCTCGTCGTCATTGCTGTCGCATTTCTTCTCAACTTGGGTGGAGATTTTTCGTTTTCCGACAAAAAAACAGGGAAATACGAAACGTCGTTTACGGTTGAGTTATGACACATTGCGGCTGAGTTATGGTACAGTACGGCTGAGTTATATTATGACTTATTGTAAGTTACGGCTGAGTTGTGATTTTTTTTTTGTAATTGTTCACGTACAGGAAAAAATATCTCTACCTCGGTGATTCCGGCGAATAACCCTAATTCTCGCTGCTTCTCTCTCTCATCTCTTTCGTCCGCTTCGACTCATACCGACGAGTCTCTCTCTCTCTC